TTTTATCATTGTGAAATATTCCTCCTTTATCTCTGTTAATATGCCACTCTTGAAGTCTATTTTATCTGATTCCTAAGAATGAATTTAAAATAAAAACAAAAAAGCTGTACCCAACTATATGCCGTTTTTAAGAGGGGCACATTTAAGATATAAAGATAGAGATCTCTTGAAAGTAAATGAGTGTATGGTGTGCCTGGGTGGCTCAGTCAGTTAAGTCTGCCTTCGGCTCAGGTCATGGTCCCAGGGTCCGGGGATCAAGCCCCAAGTCTGGCTTTCTGCTTACCAGGGAGCCTGCTTCTCCCTCTCCCTCTGCTGTTCCCCCTGCTTGTGCTATCTCTCTCTCTGTCAAATAAACCTTTAAAAAAAAGTAAATGAGTGTAAAAATATGTATCATGAAAACAGTAAGCATAAGAAGGCTGGCAGGACTATAATAATATCAGATAGAATAGACTTCTTTTAATTAGATATTTAGTCAGTGACCATTTAAAAATTTTTTAAAAAAGATTTATTTATTTGAGAGAGAGAGTCAGGGGGAGGGGCAGAGGGGGAAAGAGAATCCCAGGCTGACTCCCTGTTGAGTGCAGTGTCTGATGTGGGGCTCAATCCCATCACCCATGAGATCATGACCTGAGCCAAAATCAGGAGTCGGTTGCCCAACTGACTGAGGGACTCAGGCACCCCTAGTCAGTGAACATTTAATGTATTTTCTTGTATAGTTAGATTTAGGTCTACCATTTTATTATTTGTTTTCTATTTGTCCCACAAGTTTTTTGTTCATTTTTGCATTTTTTTAGTGGTTTCTCTAAACAATGCAGTATGCATCCTTCACTTATCATGGTCTACTTAGTGTTAATATTGTAGCTCCTGTAAAATGTAGAAACTTCGTAATTGCTTAAGTTCATTTATACCTCCCTTCCTTTTATGTTATAGTTATATGTATTACATCTACATTATCAATCCACCCAGACAATGCTATAATTTTTCAATGAAATAGTTATAAGTATTTTTAAACACATTGAGAAAATAGTTTTTTATAGTAATCCAGATATTTCACATAGTTGTCATTTCCCCCAGAAGGTCTGGATTTCCATGTAGCACCATATCCCTTCAGAATGGAGAACTTCATTTAATATTTCTCAGTGCCGGTCTGTTGTCAGCGAGTTCTCAATGATCTTTTATCTGCAATTGTTTTTATTTTGCTTTGATTCTTAAAGGATATATTCAGTGGGTATAGAATTCTGAGTGAGCAGGTTTTTAATTTATTTTTTTATTTAGGATTTTAAAGGTGTTGTTGCAGTATATTCTGGCCTATAATGATTAACTGGAGATCATTTGAATTGTTGTTCTTCTGGATGTAATATCTTACGTTTCTCTGATTGCTTTCATAATTTTTTCTATCTTTGATTTGGAACTGTTGCCTATGGGTGCCTGGGTGTGCTTTTCTTTGTAGTTTTTCTGTTTGAGGGTCTCTGACTTCCTTATCTATAAATGTGTATCTTTTATCAAATGTGGGACATTTTTGACCATTTTTTTCAAACATTTTTTATACTACTCTTCTCTTCATTCCACTAATTATGATAGACTTGGTAGTATTGTCCCACAGATTCCTGGGACTTGATTAATTTTTTCTAATGTTTTTCTTTATATTTCTCAGATTGGGTGATTTCTTTTGGTATGTCTCCAAGCTCACTGACATTCCTCTCTCATATCCATTGCACTGTTGAGCATATACAATGAGCATTTTATTTCATATATTGTATTTTGATGCTTTAGAATTTCCATTTGATTATTTTTTATAGTTTCTATTTGCTGGCATTTCCTCTCTTTATGTGCATGGAGAACATATTTTCATTTCTGTCCTTGTTTTTAAATCCTTGTCTTATAATTTTAACATTTAGATCATTTTAGAATTGGTCTCCATGTATTATTATTTTTTTCTCTTGAGAATAGGTCACTTTTTTTTCTTTCTTCTGTGTTGCATAATTTTGGAATAATCATGGACATTGTGGATGCCATCTGGATTCTGTTATATTTCTCTGAAGAAGGTTGATTTTTTTTTTTTTTTAAAGCAGACTATTAACTTGATTGGATTGAAACTGTAAACTCTTTCTCTTGGAATAGCTAAAATCTTAGTTCAGTCCTTCATTCTTAGCTTAGCCGCTTTGAATCCATCTGTCACATATATGGTTCCAGTGTCACCTAGAGAATTTGGAGTGCCTTTTCTCCAGTCCCCCCTCTCTCAATTACCCCCTCACTCTCCAGTGACCCTGGTTTGCCCTCAACTTGACAGAGCAGAAGTCTGCCCTTTTGTTCTTCAGCCAAGAAAATTGGTTTGTTTTCTTTCAGGGATTTAGTCACTTCTGTGGTGACGAGTTTGAGTTGCCCACAGGCTGAAAACAATAAAAATGGGAATGTCATCTTATGCCATTTTTTTTTTCTTCTGAATGTTGACTTCCTGTAGAGTCTGCCTACCTTTTGTTCATCCTCCATTAAACAAAAGTCTTGTTTTATATTCTTATTCAGAGTTGATAGTTGTTATCTGCAGGACAGTGGGGTCTAAGAAAAGTTTACTTGGCCATACTCAGAAAAAAAGTCCTCCCTCTCACCTTTTACTGGAGGCAAATGCATTTTACTTTAGACTACCTACATGACATATGTATGTGTTTTTCTTAAGAACAAAGCCTAAGCTCCAAATAAATCAAGGTCAAAATAGATGAGGCGCTCAAGATGACATCAGTCCCATTTGTCTAATCTCTGGCCCACTTTTAATTTTATAAGAAAGATACTAAGTACAAATTTTGTTCCAAAACTTATAAAATGTTCTATTGCTGAGTAAATATTGAATGAATAAACATGTTACAGGCATCTTATATGTCATAAAATCATTTTTAAAATATAGCTTTTAATATCTACATACCATTACATCATATATATACTATATAAACATATATACTTATATATAGTGTATGTATGTATATATATGCACAAACATTCATCATGGGTATATTTTATGTTTCCATATTTTTTGCCTCTATCAGTTACTATTCCAGTAAACATCTTTGTACGTAAATGTTTGATGACATATCTCACTATAGGAGAAATCTCTTCACCACTTCTCCACTTAATTGACTGGCTGGGTTGATCGAAGTTTTCCACGCATTCTGCAGGGCTGACCACACAGGGAACAGTCACTTTTCTCCTGCTCCCACTGTTTGGGTTGTGTGCTTCCCAAGAGCTAATAGTGTTTGTTCCCAAAGCTGTTTATGCCAGTCGTTGTGATTTAGCTGATTGGAATACTAACCTATGGAATATGAGTGAAAAAAGAAAGAGCGTGGTTGCTTCTACAAAAACTATAAAAATGAACTTGAATGCTTTAAGGAGGACCCTATGAAGTGAAGTCATGAGGTTGCTACCAAATAAGGTCATGGGCAAGGCCCCATCATCAATTTGAGAAAAAAAAATTGTAAACTATAGAAAGAATCTGTTTTCATGTTGATACCCAAATATCTTTCTGTTTGGGCCCCACCTCACAATGAAGAACATGAATTATATAGGTGTGGTTTGTGCAAAAAAGATATCACAGGATTCTAATCAGGGATCAAAACTCTGAGAAAGGCCTTGGTGCTTCCTTGTAAAATTGATGAATGAATCCACAGTGTATAACTTATAATAAAACCTTTATAGTGTGTTTTTGCTATTGTTTATGATTTCCCCATTTAGCTGACTTTTTAATGAACTGACTGGATTGTCCAATTGCTGATCCCAGAAGCATGAGAAAAGCAGACTGGTTATATTTCCTCAGGACAGATTTTTCAAACTGTAATTACTGTGTATTTTTTAGATTATACATGTTAGCTAATTGCCCATTAGAGAGACTGTATGGATGTACGTTCCCACATAGGGCCAGTTCCTAAGTTTGAAATTTCCATCCAGTGATGTCTTCTCCCCAGCTCCTGTCAGCAGTCACATGGTGGTCTTGAGTGCCTGTGGCCTGAAAAGCCTTGAAAAATGTCCCAGGATTGTCCTTTGCTATAATAAAACAGAATGTGTTTCTTTCCTTATTAATACCAGATTTCTGTGACTCCTAACCTCAAAATGCCATAAAAGCATTGGGATTGTGTGCCAAACACAACCAGAATTCATCTATCACTTTATAATATTCAGACAATCACAATTTTTTTTCTTTTTAATGCTAGAAGGTTCACAGGGATCAGCTTATTAAACCCTTCCTTTTACAAATTAGGCCCTGGAACGGGCGACAGGGAAAGTGACCGAAGCTCCGTGGTATCTCGGCTGAGCCCAGAGCTCGTCTCTGGAGTCCCAGGCTAATCCCGCTCTTTCACAGGCCTCACTTTGCTTCTGATTGGGAAGGGCAGCGATGCGAAACTTTGCCAGGCAGAATTCCGTATTATCAAGGGGGTGGTGTGCAGACTGTTATCCGATTATGTCTATAATATGAGCTAACATTTATTGAATGCTTACAGTGCCAGATACCGTTTTAAGTGCTTTAGTGGGATCAGATCATTTTATTATCCCACTTAAACTTCATAATGACTCTCCAAGGCCCCATTTTATAGATAAGGAAACTGAGCACAGAGCAGTGCCCGGGGTTTTACAGCTAGTAAGTGGTGGAGTCAGAATTTTGATTGCCTGTAGTCTTGTTCCAGAGCCCGGGCTTCTCCCCATCCTGGTAAATTGCCTCGCTATACGTCAGGAGAATGAGAAGGAAGTGGCATTTATCAGATATTTAGCCTGGCCTTTTTACATATTTTACATACTTAAAAAGATCAGTCTGGGTCGCCTGGGTGGCTCAGTCGGTTAATCATCCGACTCTTGATTTCGGCTCAGGTCATGATCTTGGGGTCGTGGGATCAAGCCTTGTGTCGGGTTCTGTGCTCAGCATGGAGTCTGCTTGTCCCTCTCCCTCTGCTCCTCCCCCTGCCCTCCTCTCTCTCTAAAATAAATAAATACAGTCTTTAAAAAGCAAGATTAATCTTCACAATCCCATTTTCAATTTGAACAAATACCAGGTAAATTACATGACTTGCCCAAGGGCATAGTTAGTAGGTAACAAAGCCAGAAAGCAACCCAAGAGTTGACAGACCCTGAAGCCCATGGTTTTACTGTTACAAAAGGCTGGTGTTTTGGTCCCATGTGCAGAGTTTCTGATTTAATTGGGCCAGGCGGGGGGGGGGGGGAAGGGGGGGAGGTGCTTGGGCCAGGGGATTTGCCACAGATTGCAGGGGATTCTCATAAGCAAGCAAGGATGCCACCCACTGCAGAAGATTCAGATGGTTTTGATCATACCATCCGATTTCATTTCTTTGTCCAAATACGGGAATAGGGATAAATCACGTCACTTGAAGACATGTTTCAACAGTTAGTTTCCTAGACCTGCCGTGACAAATGACCACAAATCAGGTGGCTTAAAACAGGAGGAACTTATTCTCTTATGGTTCCAGAGGCTAGAAGTCTGAAGTTAAAGTGTCAGCAGGGCCGTGCTCCCTGACGGCTCTCAGGAAGAATCCTTCCCTGCTTCTTCCAGCTTCTGGTGGTGGCTGCGATCCTTGTCGTCCCTTGGTTTGTAGATATGTCACTCCAACCTCTGCCTCCTTCCCTCCATGGTTGCATGGCTCTGTTCCCTCTGTGTTTCTGTGTCTGTCTCCTTGAGAAAGAATAGAAAATATGTCCATTGGTCTCTGCTCCTGGTTCCTGGCACAGACCTCCTAAAACCCTTGGAATTTCCTAAGTGATAAGAGCCCTAGGAGCATCTTTTGTTCTTGTATTTGGTCTTTGACCCATCCCTGACCTAGGGCTCCTAAAACCCTTGGAATTTCCTGAGTGATAGGAGTGTGTTTTGTTCTAATGAGGCGAGTCTGTGTGGGCTCATGCATGGGGGCTGGTTCACCAACCTGGAAGCTCTCCAAACCCCATACTGTTAGGATCTTTATGGAGGGCGTCTCACATAGGCATGAACACACACACGTAGCGGGAAGATGACGCACCCCAGCTCCATGGGAACAGAGGCTCCTTCCCTCAGGACCCTCCCAGACCTTGCCCTGCTTGCCTCGGCATCTGGATGTTCATCCATATCCTTTATCCCAGGCTTCATTGTGTAATCAATTGGTAAACATGACTGTTTCCCTGAGTTCTGAGAGCTGGTCTAGCAAATAGTCAAATCCAAGGAGAGGGTCTGTGAAGCCTCTGATTTGTAGCCAAGTCAGCCAGAAGTGGTGGTAACCTGGAGAACCATTCCTTTCGATTAGCATCTGGAGTGGGGGACACTCGAGCCTTTCCCCTGTGGGGTCTGCACTCTCTCCAGTTAGTGGCAGAACTGAATTGTGGCACACCTCACTGGTGCCTCAGAGAGTTGCCTGGTGTGGGCAAAACCACACACACCCCATGTCAGGAGCACTGTAAGTGTGGAGGTAGTGTGAGGGGTCCAAGAGGCACTCAGGAGGAGACGTGAGTTCTCCCTACTCACTTCTCCACTTACAAGGACCCAGGCAAGTCCAATAGGTCCTCCTTTTAAATAATCACATCTGCAGAGACCCTACTGCCAAATCAGGTCATGTTCTGAGGTTCCAGATGGACAGGCATGAATTTGCTGTGTGTGTGGGGGGGAACATTATTCAATCCAGTACCAACAGAAAATGAACCAATGCCACATTCTTAAGAAAACATAAATCTCTAGGAATGGCAAATGAGCTTTTGGATCTAATTTTTTTAAAAAGATATTTTCTAATGTCTTAAATGTAGCACACACCCCCCCCGCCCCGCAAAAGCACCCAGCCTTAGTAGGTGTATCACTAAATCATAGAAAGATCTGTATAGACTGACACCCTTTTCGTCCCTGTAGCTGGCTCAGGAGTACAGGGATGCCAGAAGTCTCAGTTTGTTTGTCCAGTTGTGTGTGAGTATGCCTGAAAGTTTCTGGAAAAGGTAGGCTGTTCCCAGCGGGATCTTCCTTCTACTGTAAGCTGACAGAAGAAACTGACGGCACTTTGTAAGGCATCAAGGAGCTATCCGCCATCTTTTCAAATATGATTAAGAACCACAGCAACCAAAACTTGGAGTTTTGTTCTGGGACCATTGTTTGACTCAAACATTTCCTTTCTCTTTCTATAATGAAAACTGGATAACAATTAGAAACAATCTGATTCTTAAAGGACATTTGTAGGTCAAAATTGTCTATTATTCTATCCTCGCCCCCCCACCAGCTTGAAAACAATACTTTCTACCAATAACACCGCTGTTCCCTTATTCTCGCTGTCTGTTGAGAAGACCAGCTACCCGATTACTTCTGTCTCACGTCAATCTTGCTGGTCAGGCTCTACGACATTCTGACAGAATCAGTTTTCATCTTAGAAATAACAGAAAGGATCTGGTTGTAAGAAGAGGCCGATTTCCCTCTGAGGGGTTATCCCTGAAATCCCCCTACCGCCCTAGCATCATGAGCACACCAAAAGCTTTTTCCCAGGTCCTGCTTATTTGTGATGCTTCTCTTGACCCTGGGCAGGGCCGTGTAGACAGATGTAACTCATAGACTGGTAATTTACCCAGGATAAACAGAATAATTGGTACAGAATCTGTGGATATAGCTTCCCACCGCCCCCACCGAGACTTTATAAAGCCTCAATAGCAACATTAAGGCAATTTCTTAAATAATAAATCTCCATTCCCACTTGGAGTAAAATCCTGGCTTCTCCGTCTCGATTCAGCCTTCCTTAAGGTTACACTTGGCTCTAACTTATATTCAGCCGCGTCCTTAGGCAACAATTCAAGGAAAGTCAACAATTTATTCTTCAGTAAGTGCCACGGAATCAAATCCTTAAAGGCTACCGGGTGATGTTATTGCCAACAAGTCATCTGCTGTGTGTGTGATACCGTGAGGGTGAGGCTTGGTTTCTGTGCTTACGAACTGCTCCCTGAGGATGGGCTCGGTGCCTGTCTGCACTGGGGCAGTGGAGATGCCCCTGTCACGGACTGCATGCCTCTTCTTGATATCATGCAGCTCTCTCTTCAATGTGCATTATTAAGAGTAACCATAAATACCTAATAATCCACAATTTATGGAGGAGTTTCAAGTTGCTTACCCATTTAGAAATGACATCATGTCACCGTTGTGAAGCCTTCTCCTCTGTGCCTCTGAGAATTCATGACCTCTGAGAATTCATGAAACAAACACCCATTCATTGCATAGAGAAATAATTAGCCAATGTAATATGTAATAAAAAAAACACAGAAAAATATGTTTGTGTAGCTTTTCATTTAGTGAGTTCATTAGAGACCTATGTTAGTGAGCTGGGGAAACGAAATAGCTTTCTGTGTCTAAAACAGGACTTCTCTGAGTCTTTGGGGGCTCAACCAAGTACAGAGTCCCCCGCCTGCGGACGTGCGCGCACGCACACGCACACACACACACACACACACAGGTACAGTGCTTGGAAGACAGACACTGACACAAAGTGGATTGGAATTTGGCTGATTCCAACAAGCTCAAGGTCATTGCTGGTCAGTGGAATTGGTGAATACTAACCTTCTGGCATCCACAAACATGGTCTGACGAAGTCCTAGGATGACCCTCGGAGGTGGTCCCTCGGACACCTGCAGAACACGCAAACCCATGAACCTGAAGCAGCCGGACCCAGCAGCCGTCCCAGGCCTGACCCTGGTGGACTTGGGGTGCTCTGAGGACACGGAGGCTGGACCCCAAAATACCGATCTGCCTGGAAGTCTGCCTCTTTCTCACTGACTATGAAAAATAACACCCTATGGGGATTGGGTGTCATGCAGTTAAATCGTGGCAGAGCTCCTTGGCTGCTTTTAAAAACTTTGCTCGTTGGGGTGAATGGCAGTACCTTGCACAGCCAGCTGGTGATGCCGCCGGAGGCTGTGACTTCAGGGCGCTCACTGGCCTGTCATCCGCTCTTCCTCTGTGCCCTCGCTCTGATGGGAGTTTGGAGAAACGCTTATGTAGTTTGCTTTGTCTGCAACTCGGGGGGCTCAGTGAGCACCTGTGCCCGCCTGTTACACGCCCGGCCCCATCCTTCGTGGTGGAACGCCTGGTGGGCTGGCTTTGAGCCCCAGGCCCTCCCACTGGGCTCTGCCCGCGGGATAAGGCTGTGAGCACGAGGTAGGGCTGCCTGCTTCCCAGGTAAACCAGTCCCCAAGAGGGGGGGTTCCGTCACTTTGGTAGAATTGGCCTTCCTAACCTTGGTTTAGTGACATCGTGGGATGTCCTCAGTCAAGTCTGAGAGGCTTACAAAATTAATTTTGATTGACTTGTGAAAAAAACCTGCCTTTCGGAGGAAGCATGCATGTCCTAAAGTCAAACAAACCCTATTGACATGGTTATAGGGAGCGGCGAGGGTGGGTATGAGATGCATTTGGTGTGTGATGCTTTCCCTGGGAGCAGCTTGGAACTATGAGACGACCGGGGGCTTCAGGCCTGTTTGAACGCTCGTCCTCTCCCTGCTTGTGACGTGGAGTATCCGTGTCCCCGGCAGAGCCTGGAGGATTGAATGAAGTACGCACACATGTGGGGTTCCAGGCACGTGCCCCATAAATGGTGACCCTTATCTCTGTTGCTACCAGCAAACTATCACCTGCCCTAATGCCTGCCCTTACTTAGTCCAAACTATTTTGTGCATATTCTGGAAATATTCTCTTGTATATTCAACCAATCGGAGAAGAATGCAGCCAACTGAACAAAGGAGAAACAGACCTTCAGACACAAATGCCCACAGATTCTCTGCCCAAACAGTAAAGGGGAAGTCTTCCTAGATCGCCCCGACCCCCCTCAACTTTCTGACAAGCACGCCAGCTCCACAGGGAGCACAGGGCCCTTTGAGAAAGGAGCAGACCCCAGATGGAAAGTTAAGTGGATTTAAATGTAAGAAGATCGAAAAGGAAGACAGAATTCCCTTTTAAAGACTTAGGAAAACAGTTTGAAATAAACGAGGCCAGAAATCAAAGTTTATAACAAGGGGACGGGGAATCCATCCACTTCATGAATAGAATTATAAGGGCAAGAAAAGAAACCCCACCGAGTCATTCTGACCCTGCCATTGAATCACTGGGCTCTCACAGCTCCACATCCTTCCTCCTGGGGAACATTTAAATGTTTGTCCTGCCACCGAGCAGAAGATCCTTTCTCTGGGGGCCAGAGTGGGCCGGGGCCACTGCCTGTCTCGCAGCTCTGTCTCCACAGGCTGCTGCCACACGTCTCAGGAGCATGATTCAGATACCAGAGGTATGCTTCTCTTTAAGCAGAAAGGGTGCATGATGCTGTCCTCAGAAGCAAGGATGTCATTTTTCACTCCTGACGGTCGACGGGGTGCCTGTCCTAGCACATCCGTATGTGAGCATCATGGCTCTGTTCTCGTGGAACGGACACATGGCACAGAAAGGAAAGACATGATGGAGAGTAGTTGGCTCTCTCTTTCGGGAGACTCTGTTCTTGGTGTTGTTTCTTGGGTGGATTCAGATCCTTTCCCTCTGGGTCCCGGGGCCCTTGACCAGGCCCCTCAGAGTACCGGGTGGTCATGTGCTGGCCACTCTGGAGCCTCATTCTGGAGCCAATGTCAGTCATTGGAGGTTGAGCACCTCGAAGACAGGGACCGGGTTCCAGGCACCAGGCCTGGCCCTGAGTAGAAGCTCAGTCATGGTTCCTGACTGAATGCTAGAGGAATCCGACCTCTCATTTCAGGGGGTCAGGAAAATGACCTTCTAGAAACTTCCAAGGAGTCTGAGAAGCAAAGGCAAGCCAGTTTCTCACCATATTCTTTTCTTGCCTGTCCATGTTTGTGGCTGTGGCTTTTATGGCCATGCCAAGAGTGGCCTCTGGAGGTTGGCGGAGGCCCTGATGCCCTGGCCAGCTCCGTGCTGTTGAGCAAAGTGTGGCTTCTTCAGCCTCACTTGAGTTCCTTGCGCATCAGCCATTCCCCGGATCTTGGCTCGTGGCTCCCCTAGCCGATCCCGTCTTCTGATTCCGCTGCTCTTTAGCCGTGGAGTTGAGCTATGTCAACAAATAGAGGGCAGGTGACCGTGCCACCGTCCCTGCCCGCGGGCCGTCTGCTGTACAGAGGTTATCCCAGGATCCTCCACCTGAGGATGACAAAGTTTACTGAAAGCGTATTGGTGTCTCAGTTCAATGTAGGAGAGATCGCAGAAGTGGGCTGGTGCCAGCCCTGCAACAGTTTAGCAACTAGGCCGGTGGGAAAAGGAATGTCAGTGGCCCTGTGTTCTGGACTTTTTGCACCACTCTGTGCTCTAGAGAAGGGAGAGAACTGGACAGCGTGGTTCCCCAACTCAAGACAGCTTTGTAGGACTGCCGTTCCATGACCCCTGACAAATGGATATATTCATTACACCAAAGGCTGGAAGGAACCACAAAATGGGATACATATTTGAGGAAATATGCACACAACTCGGTTTATTTTTCTTATCTGATTTTTTTTTCTGCTGCAACATGAGTACTGTTGAGCACTTGGCAGCTGCCTTTCCATACTTGAGTTGTTTGTCATTTCTGGGGCTGCTGATGCTGTGATGATTTCCCTTTTGGGAGGAATTTACAGGCACATGTTGACCCAGCTGAATGGGAACAGGGAGCAACAGGAATCTCATGAACAAGGACCACTGCAGACCGGAGGCTCTTCTTGACGACGCCACAGGCTGGAGGGGCTCCCCGCCTTGGCAGGCTGGCCATTTAACGTGCCACGACTCCAGTTTGGAAAACCCAGATCCTCTCGTGGCCTGGTCTTGAAATAAACCCGCTTTCCTTTCAACACTATCTGGGAGTGGCAGGCAGTTGGCGCTTTATTGTTGGAGTATCAGGAAGGCGCAGTCCGTAGCAGCTGTTGCTAGGTGAGGCGTGGTTTCCCAGAGACCAGCTTGGGCCGATGGGGAGGCTTGCTGGCAGAGGGCCCGCGGGAGACCGAGGGGAGACACGCAGGCCTGGCCGCGGGGGGCGCCGCACCCCGCCTGCCTCCTCCTCCTTCTCCTTTCCCAAGCCCACTCTGGCCTCTCTCCCCCAAAGACCTAGCCCGTGTCTCATTGCTGCAGACCCATTTGGGCACGCACTCACCGTGTTTTCTGGACACTTCCAACCTGCCAGGCACCGGGAGATACGAGATGAGTTGGCGGGCTCTGCGGTCCGGGAGCTCCGGGTCCTGTGGACAAGGTAGGCCCTGCGAACGCCGAGCCACAACCCGCTCCCGCCCGTGTGGCCGGTGGGTACCACTGCGCTCACAGTGGCTGCTGCCGGCACCTCACCCGTGTCCCTCTTTGTGCCTGAGAATGTTCTCTGGCCACGGGACGACCTCCAACCACTGAAGTGTGGGAGTTGATGGGACAGTTCCTAAAATTGGTAGAAAGAGCCAAACTCATGCTTTGTGTACATCGCCTTGACTAAGCATGGGGGCGAGAGCTCTGGGCGGAAGCTGGGCGCAGGGGCCCTGGCCCGCGTCCCAGCCCGCGTCCCAGCCCTGGCCGCCGACCTCTAGCCCACGGCGTGGCCTCCAGGGCCGCGCGGCTACCCCGCGACAGAGCGGGCTGCGGCGCCCCCTGCGTGGAGCTGGGCCGAGGGGACGTGGCAGTTGCTGTAAAGCAGCTGGGGCCGCGCGCGACACCTCGGACAGAGGTGTGGACAGACTGTGTCGGACAGACTGTTCCAGTTCTTCGCGGCTCCCGATGCTTTGCCTCCTGCCGCGCTCGTGGTCCCCGCCCGCGCCTCCCCTGACCGGAGCTGCCCGCCAGGCGGGTGACTGCCCCTGGCCACGGCACAGGGGTCCCCCAGGCCTCCAAGCCCCGCCACGGCCAGTGACCTCCTCCGCTGGTGAGGAGGGAAGGGCAGTTTCCGAATTTGAGCAGAGCGTGCAGCTGACAGGGGGGGCCGCCCTAGACCGCGAACCAGCGGGGTCACAACTCCTCTTCCTCCACGTGGCCGTGTGTTCCTCAGCCCCCCGCCGGCAGGCCTCTTGGTCCCCTTGGATGGGCGGCCAGTTGCTCACAGCTGCTGTCGTTCAGACCGTGAGGATGGTCGCTGGTACTTCGCAGTGGCTTTTCCCGAACGTTCCCCTACTCTTTTTGCCTATATGCATTATTCTCAGGAAATCTGTGTTGTAAGACAGGAGTCGGCCAAGCCCCTCCCACAGCCTGTTCTTGTAAATAAAGTTTTATTGGCACACAGCCAAGCCCATTCATTTCGCATCACCCGCTGGCGGCTCTGAGCCACCACAGCGGAGCCCAGTAGTTGCGACAGGGGTCACGTGACCTGCAAGGCCCCAAATATTTACTGTCTGACCCTTTGCAGAAAACTTTGCCAACATCCTGTTATAAGAGATGCTCAAATGAAATTCTTTAATTCTTTGAGGATCGGGGCACATAATTAAGTTGCTTTTTTTTTTTTTTTTTTTACTCCAACATGTTAAAAGAAAGAAAACTGATTTGCTATAACATGCTCTGTAATAGTCATGAGATAGTCTCATGAAATATTGTCTCCTAGAGTAGTTACTAGTATTTCAATGAGTACCAGTCATATTTTAGCAAAACCTAAGAGAGGATCTAGAAAGAAGGTAGTGAAATATTCCATCAGATTTCTCCTGACCTAACAGCTGGGATATAGGCTAGTATGTGAAGAAATCACATCAAAAGATCTTTGGCAATATTACCTGCAGCCCTAAAGGTTTGTGTGTATACATTTTGAGGGAGGGATCTTTTTGTTTGGAAATTCTTGCTAAATTCAGACATAGAGGTGTAATGAATTGTACAGTTTTTGCTTTGTTCTTCTTTAATTCTACCCAGAATGACATCATGGATCTGGAGCATCATGAGAAACGAAGGAAACAGGTCTTTATGTGCCCTTAACTCCTGTTGGGCATTTGGGGGGAAAGGATTCAAATGTAGCCCCTCTACTCCCCGTGGTTACCTATTAAAAATCTCACATGATTTCCGATCCACTAGACCGGGTTTTGTCAACTGCAACACTACGGACATTTGGGGAGAATTCCTTGTTGTAGGAGCTGTCCTGTGCACTGTAGGACTTTTAGCAGCATCTCTGGCCTCGCCCATCAGATGCCAGTAGTAAACACCACCTCTCCCCACCTGCCCCAGTCATGACAACCCACACTGTCTCCAGACGTTGCCAAACGTCCCCTAGGTGGCCACATCACTCCCAGTCCAGTTGCGAACCACAGAATTCATCCAGGGAGAAGCAGGGTGGGTGCTACTTCAAGGGGAGAGGTTTTTGCAGGTGCCTCTCAGGGAGGAGCCCTCTGCTCTAACGGCTCTGGACTTGACCCTTCTGAGCACTGAGGTCTGGCCCGGTGCTCTTAACCACCCTGAGCAGGTAAGCACAGTTCTTTCCCCGGTTGGACCCCCCTGCAAAGCTCTTGGGACAGAATGAGCATCTCTTCTGTTCAAAACCTGTGCACTCAAATATCCTTTCTAGAGAGGTGTGTACTTCTTCCATGGTGCACACACACACACACACGTACGTCTAAAATCATGGATCTTTTAATGTTGGAGGTACTTTCACAGGGAAGAGGTTGATCTGCAGTAAAAGTTAATCAATTTTAGGGTACAATATTTGACCAGACAGGCAAGAGCTGAAAGGCTGGGACGCCTAACACTGCCGAGAAACTGACAATTACGTGACTCTCAGAAACTTCGTTCCCCTGCGAGTACCATTTTATGTGATTCTCTGCCATCGAAACAACAGCTCTTCTCCTTGTTAAAAAGAAAAAATCGGTCCCACCTCACAATCAACAGAATCATGGTTTTGACTAATCTCTATAATCAGCAGCTAATGTGCCTGAAGAATAATAACAGTCAGAATATGCCCGTTATGAAAGAGCGTGCTTTTCTCATTTTATTTGCCTGTGATTATGTAAATTCCAGATATAGGGTGAAGGGAAGGGAAGCTGTGGGAGCCAGGGGGGAGGTGCAGAGAAGGGCCTTCTGCTAACGAAGGGAGCCAGCTTTCACCCCCTGTGGAAGGAATGTATTTTCTGCAGATTGGCTGAAACATTTGATGGTTGAAATACAATGTGTTGGAAAGAGTGCAGAGCAGAGAGCACTCTCCTGCTTTCTGATTTGGGGCATCCCTGGGTGTTCCCCCGAGCTGGGTCCTGGCTGGAGAGGCCCTGCACCCCGTGGGTCTCAGTCCCCACCACGACCCACAGCAGGGTGGTTCCTGGGGATCTCCACCTCTGCTCTCTCTCGGCCTCAGTGTGTCACCCCCAGAAGGAGAAAATGGGCCCCGAGTTGCTGTCCCCGAGGCTACTTTCCCGCATGCCTGGAGGGTCTGCCTCTTGATTTTCCCCATGTGGCTTTCACAGGAGGAGCATTCAGAATGCATGTGGCTAAATTATTTGTGCAAATTGCTGTTCTTACTCACGGATATCTCATATTCCAAGAGCTCTGCAAATAGTTCTCTTGCAATGATGACTTCGCTGGGCTCTGGTGGGCTCCACGCTCTCCCAGCGCAGATGTGTCAAGTCTGTGGTCAGGACAGGTAGGCTCTGGACAGGTGAGACTTTGAGTCTTGGCTCTATTCCTCTGGCTGTGTAGGCAAATTGCTTAGTACCCGTGTGTCTCCACTAGCTTCACTGTGACACAGGAATCATCACCCTATTTCATCGGAAGGTTGTGGGGGGAAAGGCCTCCATAAATGCTAGTAAATGCTACTGGGCAGGTCACTCCCAGGACCAGGGGCCTGAGAGCCCAGCCGAAGGAATTCCAACGTGATCTCACCTATGGTTGTGTGGACACTTGAATATAAAGGAGTGTTTTCTGCAGACCAGCCATGGTCCCCAGCACTGTACCTGTATTAACTTGCTTGCTTCTCAACCAAGAGTAGGTCGGATATTGTTACTGGCTCCATTTTACGGATGAGGAAACGGAGACAGGCACAGAGAGGGCAGGTGGTTGCTCAGTGTCACACAGTACTTAGTGGCCGGCAGAGCAGGTTCCAGACGTGGGCCATCTGGCTTGGGAGCCTCCCTGTCCACCCCAGCGTGTCAGTCACGGCGGGATGGTGTTGTTAAGCCTCAGGTGTGCAAAAACACTGATTTCTTCAGTTTTCCATAACCCCTCTCTATTTTGAGCCACTCTTCTATGCAGTGACATAAAATTCTGGGTTTAGTTGGAAGGGGGGGGGTGGCGGTGCATACATTTTAGAACCAAATATCCCAGCTCAACTTTTAAATCTCTGGGGCTAGGTGCATTTTTCTCCCCTTCTCTTTGTCTAGTACTGCACGCGCCCGCCCTAGAGGTAGACAGTTCTTGTCCCATGCCATTCTGATGCTCTGCTCATGTCTTAGTATCTTGGAAAAAAAAGAAGAAGAAGAAGAAGCCTCCACGCTTCCCTTTATTTGTTTGTGGGCAGTTTCCACTGGTCTGTAAAATAGCTGAAGGACCAGATCATTCTTAGGACCTAGAAATGAGGGTCCTGTGAATTCACTCTTGGCTTGGGTATGTTTAAGTGCAGAGCTCAGCTGGCTGGCTCTCCCAGCTGCTAGAAAACACTTCATGGAAACAAATATTTGGTGGAAACATAGCATTTCACCAAAGAGGGCTCAAGCTCTGAAGACAATTTTCTTTGCTATGGCTGCAAACCACATTTTCCCAAACCAAATTACGACGAAGGTAAACCAAAGGAGTCCCACTTTTGTTGCACTCTTGACTTTAGGGTATAATTTTGAAGTTGAGAGGAGTTTTAGAGTGCTTGAAAAAAAATTTTTTTTTCTAAGTACAGAAAACAGCATAGGCAGAGGGAAATTTGTAAAAACCTGGACCAGCCAGCTAGAGAAACCAAGGAACTGAATCACATCCCCAAAGCTGAAAGTTGCTCAAGGCTGGTGCATATCTCAGTGCGTTTTATCTTCCGTAGAGATTTCAGAGTTGCTTAGTTGTGGGATGTTTCGAGTCTCTGCCCACTTATCAGAGCGGTCCCTCTGCAACAGGCCGTCATCTGCTAAGTGGACAAAGAGTATCCGTTGGCTGTTTGTGGTGATGCAGGATGATGGGAAATGCAGCCACAGATTTCTCACAAACCCCAGGGGGCGGGGAGGCTGGGTTCTGGAGTTCGTTCTTGCACGCGCTGAGAGGCATTCAGGGACATGGCACAGGAATCGCAGTGCTGAGGATTACTCACATTATCTTTAAGATACCGCTCCGCTC